ACATGGTGCACAGACAGACACCCCATAATCACAGAATAGAAATAAAGTCAAATAGAGAGGGTCTTGCTACGTTCCTCAGGCTGCCCTCAAACTCCAGCATGTTGATGCCTTTGCCACAGCACCCAAATAAGTGAGACCAAAGACACTTGCTTTGCACCCAGCTAAGAGTTTTTCTTGAGAGAAACACTGTCTTCACAAGGCCCCAACATTGCACAAAGAACTATAGGAAACCAAGGAGTGCTTAGAGAGAAATAGCCCTCCCTAGGGAACAGCACACCAGTTGATTGGTCAGCTCTGAAAACACGTACACGGGTAACTTTACACAGACTGAGCAGGTTTTATTTAGGAGTGGATGTGTGTGTGTCAGTGTGTGTGCCTGGGGTTATGTGGGCTGGAGGGAGGGCTCAGAATTTTCCCTTTCAATCTTTCCCATTGGGCAGTTTTGTTGGGAAAGCCAGATGTTGATCTGATAAGGACAGGCTGGTCTAGCTTGTTTCTTAGTGACGAGCCGTTATTAGCCACAGGCCTCAGTGGACAGAGCAGCAAATAGATTAGGAAAGGAGGAGACATTATTCCCGCTTTGTTAGAGATTAAACACGACCATATGCTCCAGCTCTTGAGAACAGCTTTCAGCAACATGCCCGGCACCATACAAAGCAGTGTAATCAAACGGCATGCCTTAAACCATAAAGAAAGCTGTAAGGCTTTACTGTGGGATATGTGGGCGGGGGTGCACCATGTTTTTCGATGGGACAAGTCAGTGCAAAGATGACTTACACTGGGGTAATACATGTTTTATACGTTTTCAATCAAATCTTCTCAAAGTTTCCCAGGAACTCAACAAGCCGATCATGCAATTTACCTGGAAAATGAAATAGCCTGCCAAGGAAATTTTGCAGAAGAATACTGAAGGCAACCTGAACTTTCATCTCTTAAAATATCCCATAAGCTGTATTGATTAAAACAGCCATGCTGGTAAATGAATAGACAAATAGATGGCTGAACCCAAATAGAAAATAGAGAAACATATGTAACTGGAAACTTGACATATATTACAGGTAATAGTAGAAATCAGTCTGGATGGGTAGACCATTTATTATTGTGCAAGAGCAGTGGCCTCATCCGTTAGGAAGAGATGAATTGTATCTTCACATCACTTAGAGACATAGTGCATTTGAGGGAAATATGTTTCTTAAAAAAAAATAACTATAGGAGTAAGAGGAAATATGTATATTATAAGTGGTAATGGAATCACTCTTCTAAAATACCACGCAAAGTCAGGCGTGGTGGTATAACCTGTAATTCCAGAAGCAGGAGGATCTAAGAGTTCAAGGCCACTCTCAACAACAAAGCAAGTTCAAGGCTATACAAGACACTGTCTTAAAAACAAAACCAGGCTAGAAGGAAGGAGGAGCCAACATATAAAGCTTTAATTTTTAAGATCTACCAAATTTAACCACAAAATATAAAAAAATATGTAAAAAATCAAATTAATCTGTCTTGAGCATCATGATGCACACCTATAGTCCTAGCACTCAAGAGGCTGAGGCAGGAGGATTGCCAAGTCAAGGCCAGCCTGGGCAACAAATTGAGAAAACCGTGAACTTAAAATATACAGTATGATAAGGAAAGAATTCTAACATACAAATGATAATGTTTAATAATATAGAGCTAACAAAAAATGTAAATTAACAGGGAGAAGAGTAAAAATGTAATAGAAAATAAACAACATAAACAGAGTTCACAGAAGCAAAATAATTGTAAATAGTAAAAACTGTGAGTCAGGAAATACAAATTGATTTGATTTGGGTTTTTTTGTTTTTTGGGTTTTTGTTTTGTTTTGTTTTGTTTTGTTTTGTTTTGTTTTGTTTTGTTTTGTTTGAGACAGGGTTTCTCTGTGTAGCCCTGGCCATCCTGGAACACACTCTGTAGACCAGGCTGTCCTCTAACTCACAGAGATCCGCCTGCCTCTGCCTCTGCCTCCCCTGGTTTTGGGATTACAGATGTGCACCACCTTGCCAGGCAGGAAAATACAAATTGAAATGAGAAACTCGTTTACACGTCTTTATTTATTTGGGAGCGTGTGTATGTGTGTCATGCATAAGTGTGAAGGTCAGAAGACAACTGGAAGTAGCCATCCCGGAGACTGAACTGAGATCATCAGGCTTGGCAAGAAATGCCTTTACGCTCCAAGCCAACTTGCCAGCCCAGAGACATTTTTTAAAAGCATAAATTGGGTCAGCCTTAGACATGTTGAAATGAGGTGCCCAGAAAGTAAAAATTTAGTGCCAATTATTGAGGAGGGTAAAGAAGTCAAACAAGTGTTTTCGTGTATAATTGCTGTGGATATAAATTGATCCATCTTCTTTGGAAGGCAGTTTGGCATATTTATAGAGCTGAAACTGCATCATCCTCCCAGGCTCTCCTTGCCCTTCTCCCCTGCTGGGCAGGGTCCGTCAGCCTTCTCAGGGGGTGAGCACAAAAGCTGCCAGGTCTCTTAAGGGACAGGCGTAGTTCTTCCACTACACCCTGTCTTCCCATCCCAGACTGGCTTCGATCCGAGAGTGACCTTCAGATACAGGAGCAAGTGGGTCCATGGCTTCTATATTTTCAGACAAACTGTCTGTCACATAGGTAGTTAGAATAAGCATGTCCTCCACAGACCACGTCGGCAGTTGCTTAGAAAAACGCCACAATAATTTATCCTTGGGGTCCGGTATTTCTTCCCTGGCCTGAACCATTCTGAATGCTGTTTTGATTTTTTTTTTTTTGCCTGTAATTTTTTGATAAGTTATATGAATATTTTTTAAAATGCACTTAGAAACCCACCACATTGAACCCACTTCAAAAATCACAGCTTTGTAAGTCCTGCTGTGTGTTACTGTGAAGTTAATTAAAAATGGTGTTTGATCAGCAGGTGGTATTGTCATACCATTAAAGATTGTGAGACTTCGGCTGTGCCCAGTTGACCCCACGCTGTGATCCTAAGGCAGTTGCTCCCCAACTCCCACCCCCACCACACACATACATACTTTTCATTCTACCGAGTCTAAGAATGTCGCCAAATGCCAATCAGATGAGAGCTGGAGTCACATCATCATGCTACATACTATCTTTTAAAGATACTTTTTCAACCTAAAGATTTGCTAAGTGGGCTAGGCATGTTTTCTGTCATTTCGAAAAGCAAATTCCCTCTTGCTTAATGTGGGTCCCTGGACATAGACTCTGAAGTAAATGTGGTAGGAGGTGTGCCTGGAAGGAACTTCCTCAGAAATGGAGTTACCAGGGTGCTGGGACAGAGCAGTACCTAGGGGTGAGAAAAATGTCCCAACAATCAACCTGATTGGGAAGCGAGTCCTAAAGACAAGGCCCATTTGGCTGGGAAGGGACTAGGGTGACAAGCTAGACATCTGGAGTAGAGACACTGTTCCCCAGGAGTGTCTGTTTGAGGTGAAGTGAGCCGCTGGTTTAGTACTGGAGCCTACGGAGAGTTAGGGAAGCTCGGGTGTGACAACCAGGCGAAGCTGAGGACCTCTGCATTGGAGGGCTGCAGTAAGGTTTGTGTGTTGAGAGTCTTTCCATTGGCAAGGTGGACAATTGGACAGTGAAGTGGCTGGGGGACCAAAGCTAGAGGCTGGGAGGCCACGGGAAGGCTGTTGCCAAGATTCAGAGGCGACCAGGTATCATGGGATGGAAGATGTGTATGTCATCATGATATGCAGTATCTGCAAAGAGCCATAAAGTGATTTGGTTGTTTTTTGTTTTTTGTTTTTTTTTTTTTTGCCATATTTCCTAAGATTAAATCATGTTCTAAACAAAATTAAAAAGTAGCATATGAAAGTGTACATGTTCTGGCTTTGTTTGTTTTGGTTGGTTTGGTTTTAGAGACAGGGTTTCTCTGTGTAGCCCTGGCTATCCAGAACTCAATCTCTAGACCAAGCTGGCCTTGAGCTCAGAGATCCACCTGCCTCCTGTTCTGGTATTTTCAACCTCGGTATATTTGATTTTTTATTCATATTGTAAGGAAACTGGTTTCTAATTTTCCTCAGGAGTTTAGTTTCCTGGCTCACCCTTCTCCCTCTACACAACACAGTGGCAGTCTGAGGGCTTTTGTAACTTATGTGGCTGAGCCCTAGTATTCAGTTGTCCAACTGACATGTTTATAAGGCTGCTTTTTGTGGCTATTCTAGCCACTCAGCCCTTGTAACTGCCTTCCTCTCCTTCCCAAATACAGTCGTTTCTGCAGGGATATTTGCACCTGCTGGCAAGTGACCCCATTGTCCAGACACTTAAATACCCTTCTCTCTCAGCCCCAAAGAAGTGGCTTGTTTGGGGACTCACTTAAAATGGAGCTTCATTCCCTTAACTTCGTGTGTATATAACAGTACTCATACCAAACACAGACAAACAAACAAACAAACAAACAAACAAACAGAAAAAGAGCATCTAGAACCATCTGGTTCTGAGGGAAATGATAGGTATGAATGAACAAAAAGGTTAAAATAATGAAGTAGCCACAGCAGCTGTGGCAGAAGTGAGTATTTACTGAGCCTGGGTGCCAGGTGAGGACTTTGTATACTTTGGCTCATTTGGGAATAATGAGGCCAACCTTGTCACATGGGATGTATTCAAAGGATATTATTTGCTTTCTTTCCCCTCTGTTATAGCAATAACCCAGGTTGAATTACTTGATGCTCTACATTTGAAATAGTGGTTGTTTCTAAAGCTAATCTGGTATAGGCGGCATTAATGGATGTAGAAGAGGAGCAAATGGTGGCATGGATATGAGGCGGTAAAAATGTTCAGCTCAGTGGCAAAGTACTCACTCAGCGTGCATGAGGCCCTGGGCCCGATCCCCTGCGTCGCAAAAAGCTAAAGATGAAACAGAATGATAAAAACCTATTGTGTTTATGGTTGGTATACAGAATGTGTGGGGTACCTGTGTTCAAGAAATATGGAGGATATTGACCACTTCTCTTTTTCTTCCTCTCCTCTCTCAGATACATTCCACCACTGATCTGGGGGAAAAGTGGACATATCCAGACAGCCTTGTATGGGAAGATGGGGAGGGTGAGGTCACCACACCCTTACGGGCACCGCAAGTTCATTACCATGTCAGACGGAGCCACTTCTACATTCGACCTCTTCGAGCCCCTGGCTGAGCACTGTGTTGGAGGTGAGCTACTTTAGGTCCTGGTGTTGAGCGTCCTAGAGAGAGAGGAACACTCGTCAGTGGGGAACGATGTGTAAATGCCTGCCCTACCCATTGTCCTAAGTCACCAAGATTATCTCTAACCTGTGCTTGTTAGTCCATACGCAGCAGAAATCAGTAAAACATTGAGATCCATTTGCAAAGTACAGAAGCCTGTTTTAAGGGATGGTGGGAAGAGCTCGGAGCCTGGAGACTGGAGCGCAGGTCCCAGTCAGTGTCAGCAACAGTTCTAACTGCTGTAAAATCTGCTGTTGTCTCCGTCCTCCCCATACCCAGTGAGGTGGGTGATGCTATCGCCCTTTACTGGGGAAACTGGTGCTTGGAAAAGCAACGTAGGGTGGGTTTATTTGTTGAACAACGAGGGTGTAAAGGCTCTCAGTTGCCTTGTGCATAAATCTCCGTGGACAAAAGGGTGCATTAAAGCCACATTTACTTTTCATGAGTCAATGACAACTCATCCAGGAGATAACTCCAATTTCCGTTGCTGCTAGGATTTGGCAGTGTGCTTTTCCATCTATACAGTAAACACTCATTACAAATGCTTCATAATGAAGCCTTCTGAGGAAGTGCAGCTGAATGCCAGCATCCTTTTGAATGCAGTCCCTACCATGGTTTTTTGCTTATTCAAAGACTCCCAGTTTGTTACAGGAGTGTAGTCGTTATTTATGGGCAAATTCCAGGAAATGTGTGCTAACTCATTGGTTCAGAGTAACTAGAATTGCTGAGTAGCTGCCGACAGGTTCTCTCTGCCTAGAATGCTCTTCCACAGACCCTCACATGGCTACCTCCTCGTCACTCAGGTCTCGGCTGTCACCTCCTCTGATAGTGTGGACCCCCTCAGTTACGGTTCCTTTCTCTAGACCCATGATGCCTCCCCGCTTTAGGCTCTCATGGCACCTGCCACTCTAGCTACTTCTGTGTCTGTTTAGGGCCCCTCTGCTGCAATGTAGGGATCCCCAGCACCCAGGAGAATGTGCTCTCAGCAAACAGTCACAAAAGGAGTGACTAAATGGATAAGGAAGGAGTTCACAGTATGTTTATAAATACTGTAGTTGATCTTGCGCACGTTGATTCCGCTGATTTCCCTGCCATAGTTAAATGTTTTCTTTCTCTTATTGCTAATACTTTGACTTCTAGCACTTAAGCATACAACGGAAGCATGGTGTGGTGGCCCACACCTGAAATCCAAGTATTCAAGTAGTATACACTTGAGGATCAGAAATCGAAGGCCAGACTGGGCCACATGAGACCCTGTCTTAAAGCAACAACAATAACACCGCCACCCAAAAATCACGAAAGTTAGTTTAAGCAGTCTGACCCTGCTGGTACCCAGGAGGAAGGTTAGAAAGGGCAAAACCAACTCTTTATTTCCTATCCATAACTTTCCATCACTCGGGCTCCCTGCAAAGATCGATGAAGGTGATTATTTCTGTACCCAAGAAATACTCCTAAGAAAACGAGCTATTTTATTTCTTTTATGACTTCTTTACCCGATTTCAGGAAGAATACATCTTCATCTTGGCAAAGAGATAAACAGAAACTTTTAAAAATGAAAAATAGACCAGGCTAAAAATGAAAAAGAGCAGACCAGGCATGGTGTCATATACCTTTAATTCTAGCACTAGGGAGGTAGAGATATGTGGATCTATGTGAGTTCCAGCCAGGAATATAAAGAGATACCCTCTCTCAAGAGGGAGAAGGAGAGGAAGAAAGAGTGGAAGGAGGGAGAATCACCCAAAATTCAACACCCCAGCACCCTGCTAAAGTCAGTGTTCACACATTCATGGCTACATAAGGATCTCTTTCTCCACCCTGTAGATGACGTCACCATGGTCATCTGTCCTGGAATTGCCAATCACAGCGAGAAGCAGTACATCCGAACCTTTGTTGACTATGCCCAGAAAAATGGTTACCGGTGCGCAGTGCTAAACCACCTGGGAGCACTGCCCAACATTGAGCTGACCTCCCCACGCATGTTCACTTATGGTAAGCATGGGGCGTGGCCCAATGGAGCCTTCCACCCGCACCTTTTTCTGTTCTCCCAGAATGCGAGCAGCTCCTCCAACCTTCTGCTTTGTGTTGTAAGTATTGAATGCGTGAACATCCACGAGCAATGATGGGGCACGCTTATTACGGCCCCCGGCTTGCACTGGCATTTGTGATGCTCTCTGCCTTGAACGGTGGGCATGCATCTCAGCTCATAGCGAGTCACGGGGGAAGGTCCTTGACTTGTCCGAGAGTGCCGCTGGTGCCAGGGAGAGCACGAACTGACGCCATTCTCTCTGCCACCCCCACACCCTGTCCTCCAGATTCTAGCAGACAGGTAAAGGAGTAGTGAGGGGCCTCAGTGTTAGTGGAAAGGAATCTGCACACTGGCAGCTTGCTGGAGTGTCGGCTTCCTTGAGGACAGGAACAGGCTGTCAGCTTTACACAAATGCTTCTTAACTTTAGTAGAAACCCCCTTAGCCAAAGTTCTTACTTCTGAGCTGTTTCTTCTCTTTTGTTTGTTTGTGTAGCGCTCATTTTTAAACTGTTCTATTTGGGTGCTTAGGCCTCCAGCTCCCTCCCAACCTCCCAACCCTAAGTAGGAGGGATAGAGTTTAGTGGGGAAAGGAGTAGCCAGACCCCTTTACTTCTCCCTGCTGTTTAGGGTCAATGGGTCTTTGGGAGATATACCAATCTCCGTCAACAGCAAACGCAGCCAGTAGTCTCCTCCAAGCCGCTGTGCCCGAAGCATCTCTCCATCTGTCTGCTCCAAACCGCCACACCATCCGTCTCTGGTCTCTGCAAACTGCTGCTTGCCACATGCCAACACCACAGGCCATGCTTTCTCCTTCTCTGCTCTCATATTTATATCCTCAGAGCCCTAGAGCTCAAGGAAGGCCATTACCAGCTGGCAAAAGCCATGCCCTGCACAAGACAGTCAACAGCTGTGGACAAACTAAAGCCCAATTAAAACCCCACACTTGGGAATAAAACAAAAACATATTTACATAGCATAACTGAGTTTACAAAGAAGCCCAAACTTCCAATACATGTTTGTTTGTTTGTTTGTTTGTTTGTTTGTTTGTTTTTGAGACAAGGTTTTACTTGGTAACACAGGCTATTCTAGAACTTATAGCATCATCCAGGCTGGCTTCGAACTTGCAGTGATCCTCCTGCCTCTGTCTCCTAAGTTCTGGGATCACAGATGTACACCACCAGGCCCAACCTGAACTGTTCACTCTTGATTCCCATTGGCTCTCCCTTCAGATTATATATGCACACATACATAATAAACACACAAGAAGATGCATCTATATGAGCAAACAAAAATGTGTTGTAATGGGAAGCAACTGAACATTGTCTCTATAATCTTGCCTTCATAGCAGTTTCTAATTCTTCACTCTCTGTTCTGGCTTTATCTATGTTTACATAGTTTTTGTTCGTGGCAGTCATAGTTTGTACACTAATAGTAATTTACTTATAGTCAAGCTATGCAGTCATTTTATTGAATCTAAGACTGTTACTGCTGTTCAGTTATAGTTATAGAATGTATAGTTTTTTAGTATTTCAAATAATATTGCTGTAAATATCTTGTTCATAGATTTTTTTTCTCTCTCTCTCTTTAGCCCTGGGGCTGAAGCCACAATCCTTTGTAGGTTGGGCAAGCTGCCTGTCACTAAGCTATAATCGTGGCGCTTTTGCATTTTTATTTTGAGACGGGCTCATCCAGTTGCCCAGGCTGCCCTTGAACTCGATCTGTAGCCAAGTGGACCTTCAGTGTATGTGATCCTCCTTTCTCAGCCCCTCGAGCAGCTGAAACAACAATTCTGGCCGTTTTTCTCGTTAATGACATCTTTGAAGTAGATTTCTGATAGAATTATGCAGTAGCATTTCCCCTACATACTGGACATATTGTCCGATCTCCTCCTATGGGTCATGCATGCTGCCATTGGTGACAGTTAAGGGGGAGGTAAAGGACAGATATGCATGCAGGCATAGGACTGCACTGGAAACGACTCCAAGTCCATTTGCACCCTTGCACTCACTCCCATTCCTCAGACACCCCCTTGTACAGACACTGCTGCCCACTGTGTGGTCAGCAGCTCAAGATGTAGCTAAAAATCCAGATTTCCACTTAACCCAGGTGCATGGGGACATGTGCTGTGTGGGGGAAGAACTGGCGCTGAAAAGCCAAACTAGGCAACTCTGAACACAGATGAAAACAATAGGGAGTGATTATAAGATCCTGGATGAGACAGCAAGCCATCTGGATAAGGAGAAGATAAGGACATGAGCCTTGGCTGCAAGGCTCAGCAGAGACTTAGAAGCTGCATCCAGCAGCAAGTGCACCCACACAAATCAGAAATGCCAGCGAGAGGGGGGCTGGGGGTGTGGCTCGTTGGTATGGAGCCTACCTAGCATGCAGGAAACACCGAGTTCAACCCTCAACACTACATTAACCAGGTGTGGTTGTACATGAATATCTGGAGGCAGAGGCAGGAGGATCAGAAGTTCAAGGTCATCCTTGACTATTTAGAAGTTGAGACCCTGTCATAAAGAAGAAAAAAAGAGTAGTAGGCACTGCCACCAGTGAAGACACCTACACCTAGTCTATGTGCTGGTCTCAAGCTGCTGGAATCTTGTCAAGCACATCAAACCCAGTGACACATTTTGGAGGAAGAAACTGAAGTGCAGCAAGGAGCCATTTAGTCAGGGCCATCAAGCCAGTAAGTAGAGGAGCTGAGAAAGGAGCCCAGATCCAGCTGTTCTGACCTTCTGAGTCATCTCACAGCTGGTAATAGCCTCGGGGTCTCTAAGAACCCTAGAGGGTCCTGGGCAGCAGACAGGGAGGCCTGATGAAAGGCATTACAGACTGGGGATCACAGTGAGAAGGAAGAAGCAGGGCAGTCTCCAAGCGGAATGTGCTCTCAGACAAGACCCCAGGCAGGAGCTCAGACTCTGGACCAGATGCTCCAGCCCAGCCACAGCTGGCAAGCTGGCCTTGCTGAGGGAGCCTCAGTTCCACATTCTTCTTCAACAACATCCTTTTTTTAACTCACTTTCCAGAAAGACAGGTGACCTAGAAGAGATGTAGCCTTTGTGGCTATGCTATTCTTCCGGCCCGTGTCAGTACATCGTCTAGCTGTTGCTACCCATCTTTAAGTGTGTTGAGGTCAAACAAACATGACCTTCAAGAGGTATAAAAGTCTAGACCTCAGATGGTTTATTGAAATCCAGCAGCTCTGTGGGGACTTGCAAGGTGCTAGAGAGAGAGCCTGTAGTTTCTGAGCAGCTGTTTTAGTGAAAATTGATTTTTGATAAGTGACTCCTTGGACTGGTGAGCAAGGAGTACTCTTTTAATAAAAGTGGCCTGATATACTAGAGCGAAGCCTAGGTTTGTTACTTTCAACAGGTAAACGGAGACAGCTAGAAAGCGAAAAACATGCTAGAAGTGAAAAACCTTCAGCACAGCTAATCAAGTCATAAATCATGTATACTAAATTTCTAAGTGTTTTAGCTACCTTTCACCTCAGCACAAATTCATCTGTAGAGTTTTATGTCTATTGCCAGTTATTCTTTGTTTTAGACCATCGTTAGGCTTGACAGAGCCTGGTGTTTGACGTCATTGTCTGACTCACTGCCTCTTCCAGCTATGCTTCTGTCACCCGGCCTGTTCTTCCCTTCAGCTGAACTTTTGAAGTATTTGGTCAGATTCCATGTTGAATTTCTATATCAGACAGGATAGACTAGCTGATGCATCCCCAAAGCCCAGCAATTCAAAAGCAGAGATGTATTTCTGCTCCCTCTGTGTGTTCACGGCATAGCCAGGCCCTGGGTCTCCATCATGACTGTCTTCATATAAAGGCCCAGGTTTGAAGAGTAGACGCCAGCCAGCCAGAACATGGCCAGCCTCACAGGGGATAGAGAGAGCCCAGCTCTAGAAGCTTCTACCTAGAAATGATAGAGATCATTCCTGGCTAAAGTGCAGAGTTCATCAAGCTTAACCTCAGCGGAGTGAAGGAATGAGGAGTAGACATGGCCCAACTCTCAGCACAGCTTACCATAATTTTAATCAGAATTATAATTTGAAAATTATCTGAGACTTTGTATTGATGCTTCATACTCTCCTCTTTCAGGAACGTGGTGTTTTTAAAGTCTTAGACTTAGTCTTCTGGTCTCCTGCAGAGCTCAATGGTCATACAACTGATTAATCGGCAGAACTCCCCCTGCGAAATTTTAAAAAACTCCAAAGCCGGGGCCCAGCAACTTAGGAGCCTGTGGTATGGCCGAGGTTTTCAGAGCCACACACATAATTCTCCTCTCTTATTTAATCTTCAGCTTGTTGTTATTGTTACTGTGTGTGTTGTATTGTGTTGTGTTAGATCTTGGTTTGCTTTTGTATTGTAGAAAATTTCAGAGTGGAGAGAGCAGAATGAACCCAGGATAAATTCCCGCAAACCAGCACCTCCTTCCAGACTCACAGCAGCTCATAGCCAGTCTTAACCAGTCTTGTTTCTTCTGTAAGCCACCCCCCCTTCCCACATCGTCTCTCTAAGGTTATTTGAAAGCAAGTGCCAGCCAGCTGTTTAGTTCATCTGCGACTATTTCAGTGTGCCACGATACACTCTGTAAACTTTTCACTTGCTTGGACTAACAACAGTGCCACGTCTGGCATATCCAGCAGAACCTTATTTTCCCACAATTACAGAACCAAGGGTCTGGATTTACGATCTCTCTCCAAGGCTTGTAGAAGGCCACCATCTTGCTGTCCATCTCCATGATCTTCTATCTGTGCTTTGGTGGGGCACATCTCTGCATTATAATCAACAGTCTTGTGTTAGGGTCTGCCCGAACCACCCCATTTTTAACATAATTACACCATTGAATACACTGGTACGCTGAGGTGCTGGATGCTAGAGCTTCATTATGTGAATCTGGGGGGACACCATTTATCTCATAGCCAAAACATGAGCACAATATATCATCTCAATTAAAAGAGC